CCCACCGGGCAAGACTGACACTACTCACGGGCTGTGGCTTCTCTACGACGCAGCAGCCCAGCTTGTGCCAGAAGTCGCTCATATTCGCAGTGGCGTCCAGCTTCCCTCCCTGCCGGGCTGGCTGCGGGGGGGGCCGCGCCGGTGCAGAGACCCTCACGCAGGGTCACTCCATGGGGATGGGTGGGGGGACTTGGTTGAGGTGGCCAAGCCGGGTGGGGATGCACCTGGGGGGAGGCAGAGCCGGGGAAGGGGTGCGTCACGGTCAGGAAGGGTTTGTCCCTGGGTGTAGGGACATATCAGACGATGGGGGGAAGGGAACAGATGGATTGGGGATGTTGGGGTGCAGGATCAGCCCCACTCCCCGTCCCGGGGCCACCCCCCCACTGCCACCCGGGTGATGCATCAGATTGGGGAAACTGAGGCACAGCAAGGAGAGGAGCAGCCAGCTGCGGGTTTGAAGGGAGGGGGGTGATGCCTGCAGTCCTGACTCCCAAATCAATCCTAAATCCACTTCCCATCAACCAAACGGAGCCTGAGACCCCCCGGGGGACACCTGGACATTGCACAGACACCCCCAGGGACCCCGGGCATCACACAGAGACCCCCAGGGGACACCTGGGCATCAGAGACCCGGGAGGGACCCTGGGCATCGCACAGAGATTCCCAGGGGACCCCCAGGCATCGCACAGCCACCCGGAAGAGTTGTACCCGTGGCCAGGGCAGGATCCGGCCCCGGCCCCCACCCCGGTGCAGGACGGACACCTGGGCATCAGAGACCCTTGAGGGACCCTGGGCATCGCACAGAGATTCCCAGGGGACCCCCAGGCATCGCACAGCCACCCGGAAGAGTTGTACCCGTGGCCAGGGCAGGATCCGGCCCCGGCCCCCCATGGCAAACCAACTCCCTGAGCCAGGTGGCTATAAATAGCCCAGCCTTTTCGAAAAGGGGCCGGAGGTTGAGCTCTTCCGCTCCTGCTCGAAAAGCAGACGGGGGAAAAATAAATGGGGGCTCTGCCTGGCCGGCGGGACTCTACCCCAAACCCTCACGGCCCCGGCTGGGATAGCCCAGGGGGGTGCGGAAAGGGGGGGTGACCC